GTAAATTTATTATTTATTTTTATGAAAACTAACATTTATTTTTGTTCAATTTAAATGATAATTTCCTTTGATAATCAATCCCAATTTTCAAATGTCAATTCATTCACTTTAATATATTACACTATTAGTCCTATGATAATTTAATTTAATTCAATTGACATTTTTCTTCTTAACTAAAATTATTTGTTTAATTATACTTAAAATAAATTATTCTATCGAATAATTTATAATAACTAGAGTTATTCATTATAATTTTAGTGCATCATTTTATACTTAACACAATTATTTTTACAGATGTTATTTACGGCTTGGGGTGTATATGAAAATGAAAATAGTTAAATATTTTTATTCATTTTTAAAATGACTTTATAAGATTATAATCAATGACATTTTACAAGCAAACATTAAAGACACGTTTAAAACACGCGAAATTTTAAGAGGCTATAAAATTATTAAAGGGGCACTTTTTGAACACAATCATTTCATTTTTATTCAACAATACTTGTAATGTTCTTTCTTTTTTATTATAAATTAATTGAACATACTTAATTAATATCATAGCCAATCATTCGACCTAATTTTATTATTAAAATTGTTATGCTGATATTTTGATTATAAATTTTATTCTAGTTTATTTTTCAATACTTATTATTTTTATAGTTGGATTTTATTAAATAAAAAAAAATATTCTTTCACAATACATCTAATATATTTATTATTCAAAATTAAACATTTGTATGTGAAATTTAACTTTAAAAATATATTTTATAAAAACAAATTCATACAGTGTTTTAAAAAAATTATTTGTAACTACAAAAGTTCGGATTATCCATTTTCTATGACCTTTTTTATAAGTGTTATTTGAGAATCAACAAACTTAAGGATCCGTTTTTTATCTAATGCTGAAGTCTTAAAAACTTTATATTGGAGCCTATTGTAAAAAAAGAGAGTATTGGATTGAGTTAATTATTTTTAGAAATAATTATTCAAAGTAGCCAAGTTAAATATCATAATACATCAAAATATACTACTTACAGTGTTTTCAATAAGAAATTTTGGCCAGGTATGTTGTTAGGTGTTTGGCTATTTTTAGAACACAAATCTTTACTCAGCTGGGTATGAGACGAACCCAAATTTTACGATACATATCAACTACATTATTATTAATATTTTTCTATTTTTGCAAAATTTCAATTTTTGAGTCTAAATTTGCAAGTCTAAAAATGTAAATTCTCAAACACGGAGTACATTAACTCAATTGTTCTATATTTTCATCTCGTATACAATTAACAAATGAAATATATCACTTTATAAGTTGTACTTGCAGACATTTATAAATAAGCCATTTATGAATTATAAATTTTAATTACACTCTAGAAAAACTAATAATTTGAATTTCTAGTATAAAACTAATTGATTACTCAATTAGTAAATTTATTTTGTAAATTATTTTACTATATTGAATTGAATATATCAATTTAAATATAACGTTTTTTTATTTTATTTTTAAATAATTTAATTTAAAAAAATATATATTTCACTTGAAGAATTATGAAATGTATGTATCAGCACGGGGACAATTTTAAATATTTTTAATTATTGAAAGGCTTAAGTCATTAAGAAAGCTTATGCNGACAATTTTAAATATTTTTAATTATTGAAAGGCTTAAGTCATTAAGAAAGCTTAAGCCAGTAAGAAAAAAATGTCTTCCCCCAAACAAAAAACCAAGCTACATTAGTGAACTTCGGAAAATTTTTTATAAGGCTATAATAATTAAAGGCAAATGTCTAAGGGTCTTGCATGATAACAGTAAAAATTAAATTTTGATTTATGGAGTTTATTAAAACTCTGGAAAGCTAACAATTGGGACAAACATGGAGTCTACTTATACATAAATCTAAAATAACACATTTGGAAATATTTGTATTCCATAAGGAAAATTATCACAAGTTTTTTTTATTAAATAAAGTATTAACGGGAGTTTACGTCTACAGATATGACAAATAAATGTAACCAAAATAAATTATACTAAGATATAATTAATTTTATTCTAAGTTAAATATGTTGGTACTACTGTTGAATGCACATTTAAGCACACCAGTTTTTGATTAGTACGCTTTTTTCAGTTAAATATTATTCATTTAACCTATTTGAATTATTAAAAATTATGTATATGGTTTTGTTAATCATCTTTGTTAAAAATTTTATGTTTTATACTTCAGTATTTACTTAAAAAAGAAAATTTAAGTAACACAATTAAATATAATTTTTGGTGTAGGAAAACATAAATTAAAAAACTAAAAATTTTTATATTTTTTTATTATCTATATAATATGGAGTTTTGGCAAATTTGAAATATTGTTATGATTATGATTTTATTCGCTGTAAACCTTTACGTCATTTATTTGTTAACTGTATTATACACATAAGTATTTGCATATTGTTCTGTATTTTGTATTTGATTTATAAAAATGGTATTCATCTCTTTAAAATTAAATTAAATCCATCAAAAGAAACATAATCATAAGCAACTATTTTAGATATTATCACGAAATATTACACAGTACAACAAATAATGAAAAATTTTCTATTGTCTACAATGTTTAGAAAAACTCTAGAAGGAATTTCGACGATGATCCGAATCCGAAGCTTCATATTTTGTCCGCCACATCTAGTTTTTAAGATAACTAGTAATTAGAATTAAGCATTAATTAATGAATTAAATCATTAAATAAAAACTGAAAAATATGTAATGTCATAACACAATGGTGTAATTAGATTTGGCTTATGCCAATTATTTCATAATTTGGTTGGTTTTTTTGAACTTCCAAATTGAGTGACCAGTCGAAATTTGTAAAATATTTGAAACCATTTCTTTACAATTATTTACAATTAGTTGAATAACTGAGTTACTAAGTGGCATATAAGAAATTTAATTACACAATTATTATAAGCTACAAAAATACTTAAGGCTGTTAATTTTTTTTTCGCATTCCCAAAAAACTATGTTGAAATAAACTTATAAAAAGAGTTTTTAGTTTTTTTCGAAATTTGAAAAAACTTTTAACTCATAAAACTCATTTTTAAAGATCAATAGAAACAATTAAACCTAACGAATAAGCTCCAAATTTACAATTATTTTTACATTATATAATTATGTATAAAAGATGGATCAACTTTAATCGCTAGTACTAAAACAGCAGTAAACTATTGTATAACGAATTTTTAATCTCTATTAGCCAATATAATCGATAAACCATATTTACATGTGTATAAACATATAAAAAATATTAAAAGAAATTTTTGTATTATTAAATATTATTGTAAAATAAAACAATTAATGATGTTGAATAATACCAAATGCAATTCTATGTATGTGGCAATTTAAATAAAAAAAAAAACCCAGCACAGGGGGGTCGCGGCACAGTTGTGACGTGGTATAGTTGGATCAAGTATAATGATATCTGACAGTGATTAAAATCACTATCAAAAATAAACGCTTCGATGCAAATCTTTAGATAGTGTTTAATTTTAAAAAAATT